CTTTTAGTTCTATTCTATATTCTATTCTATATTTACTCTATATTCTATTCTATTGCATTGCATTGCATTCTACTTTAATTCTATTCTATTATTCTATTCCATTCTACTTTAATTCTATTCTATTTTAATTCTACTTTAATGATGTCCTATTCTTTTAATTCTATTCCATAATTAAAAGAAAGAAAGAAAGAAAGAGGGGGGGAGGGAGGGGGGAGGGAGGGACCCGGAGGAAGGCGAGGCCCCGCCCAGGCGTCTACAGAAAGAGCGACGGGCCAGACAAGGTGGAGGAACGCCCCGCGGTCCCGGAAGCAGCTGGCGCGCCTGCGCGGAGGAAGGAGCGCGCTTCTCTGGCCGCCCGCCTGAGGAGGGAGCGGCGCTGAGGGGCGGGAGGACGACCCTCGTCCGGCTTCGCGGGCCATGAGCGCCGCCGCGCTGGTTTCCCCCGCGCTGCCCCCGGGGCCTCCGCTGCCGCCGCCGCCGCCTCCGCCGCCGGCTTCCACGCTGCCCCCGGGGGCCGCCGCCGCTGCTGTCGCTGCAGCCGCCGCCGCCGCCGCCGCCGAGAGCTATGAGGAGGAGGAGCTGGAGAGCCCCGCCGAGGAGGAGGACGGCGAGCGCAGCGGACGCGCTCGGGACTCCGACGAGGGTGAGCCCGGCCGGTCTTGTCTGGGGGGCGGAGGCGGGGGGGGGGCAGATGGAGGGCCGGACTCCAACACCCATCACTCCCCGCCCACTATGGGGGACGGGAGGAGCTAGCTAGACCGTCGCTTCCTATGGAGGGGTGGGGAGGGGGCTGGATTACCATACCCATCCCTTTGGCTGGGGCCTGACCCCAACGCCCATCATGCTGTGCCGACAACGGAGAATATATGGAGTGAACTCCAGCACCCATAATTCTCTCTCTGGGGGGTCGTTGAACCACACTAACCATCGCTTTGGAGGGAGGAGGCAAGTGCTGGACCCCAGGGCCCATCATGCTCCGCCATCAGTGGAAAAAGCATGGGATGAACTGCAACTCCCATCACTTCCCATCTCTGGTGGCTGGACTACAGCACCCATTGCTGGCTGTAGTATGTTTACAGGGGCCCAACCACAGCACCCATCGCTGTGCCCCCTAGCTCAAGGGAGTGCAGGTGCTGGACTACAACACCCATCATCTGGCTTCCCCATGGACGTGGCTTGTCGGCAGGTCGCAAAAGGAGAGTCGTGTGACGCTGCAACCATCATAAATACGAGTCAGTTACGAAGCATAGGGATGTAAATCATGCGAACGTGGAGATGCTGCAACGGGCATAAGCGTGAAAAAAGTTCATAAGTCCCTTTTTTCAGTGCCATTATAACGTCAAATGGTTATTAAATGAACTGTTGTAAGTTGAGGACTATCTATACCAGGGGTCTTCAAACTTGGCAAGTTTAAGACTTGTGGGCTTCAACTCCCAGAATTCCTGGGCTGACATGACTGGAGGAGGAATTCTGGGAGCTGAAGTCCACAAGTCTTAAAGCTGTCAAGTTTGAAGACTCCTGGAATAAATAGATTGAGAAAGAGAGGTAGAATAGAGAGAGAGAAAGAGATAGATAGAATAGATAAGAGGGAGAGAGAGAGAGAGAGAGAGAGAGAGAGAGAGAGAAAGATAGGATAGATAGATAGATAGATAGAAAGAAAGAATAGATAGGTAGAATCAAGAGACTAAAGAATAGAGGGGGAGAGAGAAAAAGATAGAATAGGTAAAGGGAATAGATAAAGAGAGGTAGAATAGATAGAGAGAAATAGAGAAATAGAATAGATAGATAGAATAGATCAAGGATCTCCAAACTTGGCAAGTTTAAGACTTGTGAGCTTCAACTCCCAGAATTCCTGAGCTAACATGACTGGAGGAGTGGGGATTCTGGGAGTTGAAGTCCACAAGTCTTAAAAGCTGTCAAGTTTGAAGACCTCTGATCTACACCTATTACTCTTCCCATATACGTTGTCTAAAGTGGCTGGGCTACAATACCCTCCTTTTTCCTGCCGTGGATTTCTGGTATCCAACCACAGCACCAAACGCGGCAGTTGCTGCTTCTGGACCACAATGCCCATTACTCTCTCCCTACCATGGAGACTCTGGGTGGTGGACCACAATACCCATCCCTGCCACTTTTAAAAGTCACCCCTGCAGAGGCCCAGCATCTCTAGAGCCACCGGGTTTTAAAAGGCCAGTTTTAAGCAGCTTTTGCCCTGCAGGGTCACCCTGGAGAAACTGGCTTGAACAAAAAAATATTTTTATTTGACTTTTTTTCTGACATGATGCTGATCCTTTTGCTTAGATACGGAAGATGCCAGTGAAACTGATCTGGCAAAACACGATGAGGAAGATTACGTAGAAATGAAGGAACAGTGAGTATTGTGACACCTTGGTACTGTCTAGTATCGGCCTTCTTAGCTCTCAAGACTCATTTTCTACTCTATATTCAAAATAGACTTTAATATACTTATGTATATGTGTGTGTGTGTGTGTATGTATAAATATATGTATAAATATATAACCATGCACATGCACACACATATTCAAGGTACATATATTACTTTATTGACTACATGGGCCATATCAAAGTGCAGATTTCCAAACACAAATTATTACTAAAATCCGATAAAAACCGTTTAAAATGGAATAAAATACAATTAAAATGAAACTGGAATAAATGTACAATTTAAACTGAGATTGGAATAAAGTACAATAATTATACAAGATGGATAGATGGATAGACAGACTGGTAGATGGATAGATAGGTATGTAGATATAGATGTACATATATGTGTGTGTGGTTATGTATCTATTTTTCTTTCGAGAGCATCAGAATTTCATTTTTTAATGTGTGCCAGTGTGTTCACAGAAAAAAAGTGATAATAACAATGTTTCAGTTGCTTTGGGATTGCACTATGGGTACCACCTTTTTGCCTTTTCTTTTGCCACAGTCATTCTATTTCTATTTGCTATTCTTTATATTTTGTTATCTTCTCCAGTTCTTTCTCATCTATTATTATTATTATTAAAAAAAAATGTCCCCTATCCCACTGCCAAGTAACTCTGGGCAGCTTACGACATTAAAACCTGTTCTCTTTGCAGGATGTACCAGGATAAATTGGCATCACTAAAAAGGCAGCTGCAGCAACTACAGGAAGGTAAAGCTTCTAAATTGCCAACTACGATACCATTCAGTTTTGTGAGTTTGCCTACACTGGAATGTTGAGTTGTTGGATCTGGTCTCTTGCAAAACCTGCAGGGGAAAAGAAACTATGCTAACAAGAAGGTTTGTTGGTCCCAAACAGTTGATTCTGCAACGATTTAACTTTGACTTCTTATTCCATAGGTACCTTACAAGAATATCAGAAAAGAATGAAGAAGCTGGATCAGCAATACAAAGAGAGGATTCGCAATGCAGGTGAGCCGGTTGCACTGAGGTGACAAATTCGTCCTAATGTGTAAAATTACCTGGGCAGAATTCTTACCTTACAAAGTGAGGTATCCGCTCTGACACTACAATTGAGCCCAACATTTCCATCGCTATGCTATTAGAGCTAGTTATTCAGTGTTTCCTTTTGGAATTAGCTGGAGCTATCACTAATCGTCAGGTTCATTTATAAAATCAAGAAACAGCCTGTTGTGAGCGCCGTGTTAGTTCTCACAATTCGCTCTCACAATTAGGTCCTATCTATATACTGGAAAATAAATGCCCGAAATTCCATGTAACTTCCATCATTCTTGTTTTGAATCTCCTCAAGCGGCAAGGTGGGCAGTATATAAATTTAATAAATAATGCTTTACCAGACAGACGCCATAATGCTTGGATTGCTGTAACAACATATTCAATTTTTTTTTAATCTTTAGTTTTTAATGTGATTTTATATGTCTGTTTTTAATGCATTTATATCAATCTATGGTGTTTTACATTTTACCTGCTTTGTTGTGCGCTGCCCCAAGGGACTTTTGTTGAGATGGACAAGCTACATAAATATAAATCAAAATTGTATAAATGCAATATAAATGATGAATAAACGTGCGTGCATGCATTTGTGTGTGGGTGAATTGTGTACTTTTGAGGGATTTTGTTCAGAAAGAAGTATATTCAAAGCCCACTTGCCATATTAGCGTTAAAGACAATATCCTCTTTTGTCATCCACAAACCTATCCCAGAACAACTCCAGTATTCTACTAAAATTAAACACGGTTGTATTTTCCTTCTAATAATTGTCATGTCTGTTTCCTTCCAGAGCTTTTTCTTCAGTTGGAAGTAAGTATATCTCACAAAAACTATTTTACGTTAGGACTTCAGGATTATTTATGTTTGCTGCATTGGATTCCAGGCTAGACAGATTTGGAATAAATTCACTGAAATTTAAACAGAGTTGCTGTTAACTGATTTTAATGAATCTTGTACAAAAAAAATATGATTTAGTATACACTCAAGTACTTTCGGTGGGGTGAGTGGCTGGTAGTTTTGTCCATCAGGTACACATAAAAATAGACCAATTTGTCTAGTGATTAAGGCACCAGGCCAATCACCAGGAGATGATGAGTTCTAGTCCTGACTTAGCCACGAAAGACAGCTGGTGACTTTGGCCCAATCACCAGGAGACCATGAATTCTAGTCCCCACATTAGGCATGAAAGCTGGGTGGGTGACTTTGGGCCAATCACCTGGAGACTGAGAGTTCTAGTCCCACCTCGGCCGCGGCAAGTTGTCCCATTGCACTGCTCACTATCGTCGCCAACGGCCAGCAGAGTAAAATCTGCAAGGACTCCCTTTTTGTACCAAGTGGCGGGACCTGTAAAATCTAATCCCTAAAACCAATAATTGAGGCTTGCTTGCTGCATTTATTTAACAGTAGGCACTGGAGGAATTCCTTCCAGAAAATAATGGGACATTATTTTCCCATCCTACATACAAAAAAATTGCAGTGGTGCATTTCAGAAAGCGGAGGGGGAAATGATTCAAGTCATACATAACATCTAGGTGATATAAGCAGAGGTACTTGTAATTAGCAAGCCTCAGGTTAGTTTCTTGCTACTGTTACTGTCTCCAAGAAATAATCGTTGTCTTAAGAAATCCACCAGTTACATTGCCATAGAAATTTTATAAAAGCTTACTGAAAACCTGACACTTCAGGTTGCCCCAGTTAACTCCATTCCTTCTGCGTTTTTATTTGGCAAACGAATAACAGACCATGTTTATATATTTCCCTTTAGACTGGCCATTCTCTTCCATCCATCAATCCACATTCACCTTCCTTTTGCTGCACCCCTGGGACTCTGCGATCATTATTTTGGACCCAATTTATTAGAACCCCACCCAAGATGGGAGTCAGGCAGCCGCTTAATGAATTCACTCACGCAACAGCAACCTACGTTTCACCTTAACCTTAAAAGTGCTCTCCTTTTCTTTTGGGTGTGGATTAGACAGAGCAGGTGGAACGAAACTACATCAAAGAGAAAAAAGCAGCAGTGAAGGAGTTTGAAGATAAAAAAATCGAGCTGAAGGAGAGCTTGATTGCTGAATTGGAAGAGAAGAAGAAGATGATTGAGAGTGAGAAGCTCACCATGGAACTGACAGGAGGTGAAGCAGAGACCAGAACCTTTTCCAAACCGTTGAGACAAATCGCTTTGGATGCATTTGGCTCAATACGTAGATTCAATGCAATGTTTACGAATGTGTTCTGACCCAAACATGACAAAACCTCTGACGTGAACTCAAAAGTTTCCTTTATTAGGAATTTTGGCAGCCCCGGTAAAATGTTTATCACGCAGGCTAATAAATCTGTCCATCAGGGAGAGGAATAGTTGTCTGCCACAACTATTAATCCCTGCCCCCTGCCTTTTATCCCCAGAGCTAGGGTGGGGCTTCTCTAGCAGCAGTGGCTCTTCTGTCCCAAGGACCGGCCTATAGATTTCCACTGCTCTCCTCTCCTCTGCCTTCTGCGCATCAGGCACTGATCCCAGCTCCCCCTCTTCCTCATCAGCCACCTCCAGACCTGGGGGCTGTTGACTCTCCATCTGAGAGCTGATGGACGGCCCAGACTCGGTCTCTCTCTCTCTCTCTCTCTCTGCCAGCTCCCTTCCCTCTTCTTCCCCCTCAGAGCTCTCAGGTTGCCCTGATGCTGTCCTTGACTCTCACGCTGCCGCCGCCGCCTCTTATTCGGCTGAAGGAGAGGCCGGCAGTTGACAGGCCACAACAGAAAGTCCGCCTGGTTTGGAGATTGAGTGAAATTGAATAACAGAGTTGGACTCTACATTCTATAGATGTGAAAAATATATCGGTGGGGGGGTGGAGTGGGGAGTAAAGAAATAGTTTTTGTTGTTGTTTGACACACAAAAAACGATAGTGTACACAGCGAACAAGATAACTATGGTGGGTTTCGTATCACAAATCACTAGCCAAACACTTCCCAAGCGTTTAGGACTGTGTGATGTATTGGCGGATTATGCACACAGATCCCAGTAAGGTGGCCTTCTGCAGCTGAGCAATGGTGATCTTGTCAGTGCCAATTGTTTTTAAGTGCTTGCCTAAGTCTTTAGGCAGAGCACCCAGTGTGCCCAGTACCACTGGAACCACATGCACTGGTTTATGCCAGAGTCTCTACAGTTCGATTCTCAAGTCCTGATATCTGGTGACTTTTTCAAGTTGTTTCTCGTCGATTCTGCCGTCACCAGGTATGGCAATGTCGACGATCCACACTTTTTTCTTTCCCACAATTGTGATATCCGGGGTGTTGTGTTTCAAAACTTTGTCAGTCTGTATTCGGAAGTCCCACAGTAGTTTTGCATTATTATAATTATTATTATTATTAGTAGTAGTAGTAGTAAATCTTTAGTGAGATTCACAGCCTTTGGGGCTGGTTGGTAGCTCAACAGCTCGAGTCCTAACCAAGGATCTAGGAGCTGTTCAGGTAGTGTCGGAGGACATAAGCTGTTCCAAGTAGGGTGGTTTTTTGTAAAATCAGATGATGATGATGCCTCAGTACTCAGGTGGGTTTGTTTTTTCCCCCCTGAGCCTTTAAAGAAATTTGTGGATCTCATAATTCAATTGGTTTGTTGCTCTCTTCAGATTCCATGGAAGTGAAACCGATTATGACCAGGAAGTTGCGGAGGAGGCCAAACGATCCAGTGCCCATTCCTGACAAAAGGAGGAAACCGGCTCCAGATATCCTTTCTACCATGAAACCTTGCCCTGAAAGCCAAGGCTGGCCGGCATAGGTAGTCCTTGACTTAACGACGATTCATTTAGCAGCGGTTCAAAGTCGCAACTGAAAGGGAAACCAGTCTTAAAAGTTGCCAAGATTGATCGCCCCTGCTTTATTTATTACCTGATCACCCGTTTAAGTACTTTCCAAGCTATTTTTCCAGCACCAACTGATTTTTTTTAGATGGCCTCGATATCAGGGAAACTGACCTCCTAGTGTTAAAGATCCCACCTCCTTCCCCTCTTTTCCCAAAAATCGGGATGTTCATTCATATTCAATCAACATTGGCTAAAACCAAACTCCAGCCCACCTCTCAGTATGACATGGGAAAATGAGAGGGCACCATTGGGTTGTTTTGGCAAGGCCCTAAGCCAGGGATCAGCAACCTGCGTTTCTGGAAGGCAGAAGGGAGAGGAGAGGAGAGCAGTGGAAATCTATGGGCCGGTCCTTGGGATGGAAGAGCCACCGCTGCTAGCGAAGGCCCACCCCAGCTCTGGGGGTACAGTTGGGTTCTGTAGGAAGAGCTCTGTGGAGGCTGGTGGCTGTCAAAATCCCAGAGGTTGCAAAAGGAATTGAAGCAGGCTGGGTAATAGTTTAAGGCAGCGGTTGGCAACCTGCGGCTCTGGAGCCGCATGTGGCTCTTTCCATCCCTCTTCTGGGCTCCCTGTTGCTGGTCGGCTCCACAATTGGCTTTAGGTTCTGGACAGGTAGAGGAAAAAAGACGCCGCGCTAGGAGGAGACTCTATGGTGGGGGAAACTGCCATGGGGTCTGTTTGGCTCCAGAATTGAATTGGGGGAGGGGCTTCTGGTTAGGACCTTTGTGGCTCTTTGAGTGTTTAAGGTGGCCGACCCCTGCCCTAAGCAGTTCCATGACTGTTTTGGATGACCCTTAATGTGGATTACCTCAGCTCAATTATCTCCTAACGGATGAGCAGATCATGGAAGATTTGAGGACTCTCAATAAGGTAAGTGCGGCTAGGAGAATAAGCAGGAGAAAAAAAACAACAACCCCTTAGTTTTCTGTCTAACCACCTCAGCTGCAAATATTTAATAGTTTTGGGGATCTCTAGAAAGTGGGGTTCTAGGAATATTTTCCCTTCCCAGGTGATGTGGCCGGTAGCCACGCCACCCAAGGAAATGATGGGGTTTGGAATCCAGCACATCTAGATTGCAACCTCAGCTGGTCCCTCTTCGTACAACTGAAAACAGCTAAAAATGAATTTCTCAGATTTCTTGGTTGTATTTTTGCGACTATAGCTTCAACAGTTTTCCTTTTCTTTTCCAGCTTAAATCGCCCAAAAGACCAGGTGAGTAATATGACCATGGGCATTGCTTTAATTTAATTTATTACGACTTGGAACAGAGGGAAGACGCTTCGTGTCCTTCTTGCCATACGGAAAATCCCAGATTCTACATCCGTCCGCTGCCCCTTTGGTATATTAGAATAACTTTATTGTCTCTTTAAATGTATACCAATTGGCGTACTTTAAAATGAAATTTCACTGCATGCCAGCTCTCAAAGGGTCACCCCCTCCAATATACAGTACAAAAGCGTGACAAAAATATCAATAAATAAGTAAGTAAAAATAGGCCCATACCCACATAGATGACACAGAGAAACAACACAGTCTAGTTTGCGGGTATAAATGTACATAGCGAGAAAAACTAGTCTTGTGAGTTTACCAGACAGATGGAATTCTCATCCAAGAAGCTTCTTCAGCTCAGACTGTTATGGTGGGGAAAGAAAGGATTTATACTCCTTGCGGACAACTGGTCGTTTGCATCCTTTTGGAGGGCTGTTGAAGCACTTGGGGGTTTATCTGCGTCCACATCTATAGCTATACAATTTGGGATGAACACCCTTTGAACAGTGTGGGAGTAGGAATGGATTTCCAGGGGGGAAAATTGCAGACTACGGGAACCCTTTGCACTACTCAGGTGATCCTGAGGACAGAGATAACACCCCCCCAAGTGGCCTCAACGACCCTCTCAAAGGATGCAAATGACCAGCGGTCTGCAAGGAGCATAAATCCTTCCGTTCCTCACCGTCCAGCCAGAGCCGAAGAAGCTCCTTGGAGGAGAAGCGAAACGTCTTTCAAAGAAAAAAAAAAAAACAAAGTCCAGCTGCCTCCTGAAAACATCTTTGGCACAACCATGTCGTGGATGACCGACAACCTCCATAGGCTTTTAAACCGATGCTTATCGCCTGTTCCTCTTTTCTCTCCCAGCATCTCCTTCCTCGCCCGAGCATCTTCCGACGACGCCAGCAGAATCCCCCGCTCAACGATTCGAGGCACGGATAGAAGACGGAAAGCTTTATTACGATAAACGATGGTAAGGGGCGTGTGTGGAATGAGGGGCTTTTTTTAAGAGCAAGGTTTAAGAACAACGTTTTTGCTCTGGTCAGAAGCTAAGTTTGGAGGGAAGTAATGGCTGTTCGCGCTCAGGGGGACTATACTGTCTAGGTCGGCCTGGCAAGGGGATTCTGGGAATCGTAGTTCCAAAGTCTCCCCATAGAGCCAAACTCGGGAGGAAATGGAAATCAAGGTCGTGTTATGAACGTTTTATACCACTAGGTGGCAGGAGACCATCAGAAATTGTCTCTGGAAAAAAAAATGCCTTTTTCTCCTTTTCCATATCTGCCATATCTTTAAAAAGATCCTCTCTACAGCCCTTGTTTAATGACCGGTTACCCAAAGTAGGTAACCTCATTAGTGCTACTGGGCTGGCACCATTGATGGTATCTAGTCTGCAAAAAAACAACCAAGCTCAGAGAGCACCAAGGACCCCACAGTCATTCTCCTCCTCCTCTTCCTCCCCGCCACAAACCCCACTCCCTTCTAGCATTGATGATGTTACCTAGTTTGGGTAATGAAACATCTGCAAGAAAGCCACCAACCTCATTGAACACTAAGGTGTCTTCCCTAACTACCTATCTACCTACTTTCCTTCCTTCCTTCTCTCCCTCCTTCTTTCTTCTCTTCTCCACAAATTCCACTCCCTTCTGGCATTGGTATTCACTGGCTCGGGCTTTTCTGCATGTAATAGAATATTTGTTATATTTAGGCTAAACGTTTTGTTTAATTTCAGAACGTTTCTGGTTGTTTTCGTTCTCCTTTTACAGCTTTTGCTATGCTCAAGGTAGCCATCGCCTTTTACTGTGATAAATGTGTATTGTATTTTTTTTTTAAATTAATTGCAATAGTTCGGCAAAAAAGTCGATACTTTTAAAATAGCTCCCATGTGTAGGTGGACAATTTTGACATGCAAATTAAAATTCCCCAGCTATCATATGTCTTTTAAACATGAATCTGCCGGCTGCTGCAAAAATGCATTTCTTTCCCCTACTTTTCTTGATAGGCAACATGTAAAAGGATCATTATCTCAAAAGAACAAACAATCGTGGCTAGGAGTGGAATATTTAAAGTGCCTTAATGGTGTTTATACTTATAAAAATAATGGTTTTCAGGGTGGAACCGAGAATCTGTGTAAAGAGTTGAGTGAAACCTGGTTTTTAGTGGAAATAAACCCTCATTTATGGAGTCAGGTGTGATAGACAGTGCTTGCTTAGGACAATTGCGTGCGGCAGCGAAAAGACAACACTACTATCTACGTAGGGAGTCCTCAACTGCGTTAAGCCATAATTGGGAAGAGAATTTCCATTGCTAAGCACAGTTGGTTGTTATCGTAAATAAGAGAAATCCCAGAAGTTATCCCAGAAATCAAAGCTGTTGGATTTGACACACTCATACATTCAAAACCCGTGCCTAACATTTTAGATCATATCAGAAAGCATAAAAGGTTTTCCCTTGCTCTAATAAATCCCATGGTCATTTCCATTATAATTGACAGGCAGGGTAAAAAGCAATGATACTTCACTTTAAATGCCAGAAATTGGGAGAAGTGTAAAACAGCCCCACCCCTCCTCTCTCTCCCCCCTCTCCCTCTCTCTCTCTCTCTCTTTCTCTCTCTCTCTCTCTCTCTCTCTCTCTCTCTCTCATTACCTCCCCTCTTCCCTCGGGCGTACGGTTGCAGGTTGTTCTATGTTTCTTGCAGGCAGGTGAAGTTTCCAATCAATACAGTAATACAAGCAGCGGAGAGGAAATTTACACAAACCACAATGGAAGCAGCCTTTTGAACGTGGTTGGGCAGGAGGCTGAGCTATTAAGAGCAATCAGGAACGGGGAGAGATTCTCTGTGCTTTACCTAGATACCCAAGTGGAGCAGCGTAAACAGGAAGCGCATGTCAAACAATTTAGGCTTGTGATTAGGGGATGCTTAATCTCTACCTGAAACGCTTAATCTCTCTTCCCCACTGGGGAAAAGAAGATCTGGTTCAAAAATGATGCCTTGGAAGAAGATAATTTTATTGTCATTTTACTGCGAGCACACCGGCCTGCATTAGAAATGAAGTTCTGTTGCCTGCTCTCGAGAGAAGTGTATAACTACCCAAACACATATATAACACACATGCTAAATACATACATAACTATATATCTGCACCACACACACACACACACACACACACTCACACTGTACATAGCAAAAAGAGTGGAACAGCAGGGAGGGAGTGTTATGACCCAGGGTTCTCAAAATCATGAAGCCGACTCCTTGTCCCGAGAAAACGCCTTATATTTAGGTTAAAGTGAATTCCTCTCCAGCAAAGTCCCAGCCAACAGTCTTTCACAACTATAGACCTTTATCAGGCTTGGAGAGTTGCCAGGCCGATAGCTTCCAAACACCACGCTGTAGCAGAAATTACTTGGCAAGGTGTCAGGAACACATCTTCATCCTCATGAATTGAACTTATTGTCTCCTGCAAAACCGCACTCCCCTTTCGCTCCTCTTTATTCCCTATGGGAGGGGCCATTCACCGTCCACCTGTGCCCTTACTCCCAAGTCGACCCTTGTTCCTTAATTGTTCCCTTCTCCTGGCAGCTCTGTGCATGCGCACACTGGGAACAGGCTCCAGCTGTTCTTCTGCCCCACTGATCTCCAACTCTGAAGGCAGCTGATAACTGTCGGCCCCATCTCTGCCTCCGACGCAGAGCCCTCGCCAGTGCCTTCCCCAGACTCCAGACTCCAGGACTGGCACATGTTCCTCCCCAAGCTCCTCATTGCCTGAGCCTGCTGCCAACTCGGCTGGCCACTGGCGGGCCACAATGGAGATCCACGGGTCGTAGAACATGAAGGAAGGAAGTAGAGAGGTAGATTTCTCCTTTTCCAAAAGCCAAGATGGCTGTGAATAAAACAAGGGAAACGAGAAGAGGCTTTCGCATCGAAGTAAGAAACTGATCATAAAGAAAGGTTACAGGAATTTAGAATTCCCATTGAGAGTTCTGGGTTGCATGCTAAGGATAACCGCCAAGCAATTGTCGCTTTATTTCCGGTCGAATTTCTTCTAAATGTGCATGGCTGGAGTTCAGGTAGTCCTTGATTTACAACAGTTTAGTGACCATTCAAAGTTACAAAGGCGCTGGGGAAAAAAGGGGACACAGATATGCAATTGAAGGAGAAACGGAGGCCACGTGTTCACACAATATGCCGAGTCAGGTCAAGAGGTACCTAGCAGATGTATTCACACAGCGAGCGCAACTCAGTTCGAATTAAATTTGATTCAGTGTATGTATAAGTGTGTAGTTCAAAAACCAATCCTCCTGTTAAGATTTTAGGTTTTGTATTCTATGTTTTGTATTGTACCCCCATGTCCCCCCCTTTTTTAAAAACTGAAATCTGATATGAACGTGCCCTACGATAAATCAGTACACATTTTCTTTTTTCCAGGTATCACAAGAGCCAGGCTATTTATCTGGAGTCGAAAGAGAACACTAAAATCAGCTGCGTGATCAGCTCGGTGGGAGCCAACGAGGTAAGACAATGTCTCCTTTTGGTCCAGGGGCTCCAGAGTTGCAGCCTTCCCCATAACTTTGGCGTGTGATAAACTGTCTTGTTCTTGCTTCCGTTGCATGGCAACCATCCGCTGAAGAGCATCAGGGAAGGATCCTTCAGAGCAGGAAGGGAGATTTTCATTGAGCAATTATTTCTTCGGATTAACACTTCTGATCTTAACCACCACGCTCCTTTTGAAACTTAATCAGAACTCTCGTCTAGCTTTTCTGGCGGTGGCTCAGAAACAGAGACCCTTACTGCTCCAATGCTTTTAAATCCGTGCGCTCCTTTGACTCTTTCTTGCCCTTAGATGGGTTGCTAAAGTGGAGCATGGTTGGTTTCTAGCTGGATAATGGATGGGCTTTTCAGTTGAAAGCTATCATCTTTCCTGCTTCTGTAGAAGAGCAGGCAGAGATGGAGGGCGGAGTTAAGCATGTCATTAGCTTGGAATCCTTTTGTTGCCACAAATGGTCCAAGTCTAAATTACTCTTGAATTCTGCTGATTCTTATCTAGCGCCAGTTTAGTGCTGAACTTTAGTTGACTAGATTCTTGTGTTGAACAACACATCTTCTGAACTGCAACTTAATGAGTGACAGCAGTCTTCCGGTACTCGGGGGGCTGTCATAGACAAGAGGGGATTGACTTCTTCTCCAAACTACCTGAGGGCAGGTCAAGAAGTAATAGGTGAAAGATCATTAAAGAAAGATCCAACCTGGAACTAGGGAGAAATTTTCTGACAGTGAGAACAAACAGTGGGACAGCTTGCCTCATCAGCAGAGATTTTCAAGAAGAGACTGGACTGCCCTTTGTCCAGAGTAGACTTATATACCACTTCTCAGTGCTTTATAGCCCTCTCTAAGCAGTTTACATATTCAGCCTCTTGCCCCCAACAATCTGGGTCCTCATTTTAACCACCTTGGAAGGATGGAAGGATGAGCCAACCTTGAGCCAATGAAAATCGAACTGCTGGCAGTGGGCAGAGTTAGCCTGCAGTTGCACTAGCATTTAGACTTACATACTCCTTTGCAGCCCTCTCTTAAGTGGTTTACAGAGTCAGCCTGTTGCCCCCAACGATCTGGGTCCTCATTTTACCATCCTCGGAAGGGCGGAAGGCTGGGTTAATCTTGAGCCTGGTGAGAATCGAACTGCCAAATTGCAGGCAGCAGAAGTAGCCTCTAACCACGGCGCCACCACGGCTGCTATAGGGTCTCCTACCTGAGCAGGGGGGTTGGACTAAAAGACCTTCGAGGTCCCTTCCAATCCTACTGTTGTAGTTTAACCAAGGTGGGTGGAATTGCAGGTAGAATCCACGTGGCCTTCCAGGTTCTATAACGTGGTATCCAACACCAGTTCTAAAACTGCTCCATAACAGAAACAATTCTCTCCAGCGTCACCATTTCTCTCTCTGTGTGTCCCAACCCTTGACAGATCTGGGTGAGGAAAACCAGCGACAGCACAAAAATGAGGATCTACCTTGGGCAGCTCCAGCGGGGCGCTTTTGTCATCCGACGGCGATCCGCGGCTTGACTGTCGTCTTCCTCTCACCCCACCCCGGCAAACCCTCGTATTAAGGACAACCGGCCGTCTGCGAGATGTGTGCTTGTGCCCCGTAGGTGTGATCAGGCCAGAAACAAAAAACCATCACCCTTCCCTTCCTTTGGAAGTGTTGTCTACAACCAGCTGCGTTTCCCCCCCCCACCCACCCGTGTTTCTCTCGCGGAACGCCCCGCCACCCGGACCGACGGTTCCGCTTTCTCAAGCGGGAGACTGCCAGGTTTTTTTTTTTCGTCTTCCCGTTATTTCAACCTGTTTTAAATGGTGTTTCGGTGGCGGAAGGCCGACGACCCGGGCGGCCTGGAGGAAGCTCCGCCAAACCCTCCTCCAGCGAGGCCAAACGTTCACCGGAGGAGAAAGCGACAGCGTTGGGACGCGTTAATAAAAAGGGACGGCGTTTGAACATGCCCAGGAAGTGGTTTGGAAACTCTCAGAACCCGCCCTGGATTTCGCGTTATTTATACGGAAAGGAGTTTTCGCGGTTTTTCTTGATTTGCGGCCCAAGCTAGGTTCAGAGCTTGGTGTGATTTTATTTTTTTCCATTCTTGGTTTTGCAGGCAAAAATGGACACACGGGGGGGGGGGGGCGGATTTCTCTTCTTTCGGGGTTCCCCCCCCCTCCGCTGATCCCCCTTCCCTGCTCAAAGCAGCACTGAGACCACCAGGAAGGCTGAGGAGGGTGTTTGTGAAGCTGACCGTGTCAGCAAAGGTACCACGTTTGTGGGAGTACCTTCACCTCCTTCAGTCTGGCCTTCTCCAAAGCCAGGAAAAAAAAACTTCGGTCGCATCGTTGGCTTTGTGCATGCAAGTTGATTCCTTCTTTGACTTTCTCCCTTTCTCCCCCCACACCTTCCCCAAATGTAAATACTAAGAGAGTAGAGCTCGGATCCAGACTGAAAGCCCAGGCTGCGTTTCCCAGCATTGTACCATTTTTATGACATGTTGCTCCCCAAATATTTTTTAATCTCTCCGGTGTTGTGTGTGTCGCGTTGGCTTTCTTTCTCCTGGCTTCACCAACGCTGCCCAGGTTGTGTGGCTTCACTTTCTGGCTCCCGCCATCGACCTTCTCTGAAGAGCGAAGGTCTCTTACTTATTCCAGATCGCTCCACAGATGGTGAAGGGTGGAACGAATCGAGAAATTGGGTTCAAAAATAAAATACGGAGTCATCCATCACAGTTAAACCAAGATTATGCACCCCATGGGCGTATACGCCAAGATTACACATTCCAGAAATGCAGTGAGAAAGGGTCATAGCCGTAGCAGGCTGTATCCTCAGGGTTGGGTGGATTATCTGACTCTTCGCAGAGATCCTGGCAATGGGCCCAAAGTCCATCGGCTGATTTTCATGCCTAAGAACTCAGGACTAGAACTCCCAGTCTCCTGGTGATAGGCCAAAGTCACCCAGTTGGTTTTCATGCCTCAGGCAGGTCTAGAACTGACGGTCTCTTGTTGATTGGCCCAGTTGCCCAGCTGGCTTTCATGCCTAAGATAGAACTCACAGTCTCCTGGCGATTGGCCAAAGTCAACCAGTGGCTTTCTTGCCTTAGGTAGGACTAGAACTCACGGTCTCTTGTTGATTGGCCCAGTTGCCCAGCTGGCTTTCATGCCTAAGATAGAACTCACAGTCTCCTAGGGATTGGTCCAAAGTCACCCAGTCAGCTAGACTAGAAGTCATCTGGTGATTGGCCCACAGTTCCCAAGACAGCTTTCACGCCCAGGACAGGACTAGAACTCACCATCTCGTGGTGATTGCTCCAAAGTCACCCAGCCAGCTTTCACACCCAAGGACTAGAACTCACCATCTCCTGGTTTCTAAAGCAGCATCTTACTGGCTCTCAAGTAAACCTATAGTGAGCCTTGTGCAAAAATACTGCGTGCCCTACTCAGCATCAAGAATTGTTTTTCCAAGGATTGGCTTCTTAAAAGAGCATCCCAAGCTGGCTTTTTCCAGCCTGGATGCACTCCACGGTGTAGCCCAGTTGACTTGTTGGGAAGTCTCAAGACGCTATTGTCCACATTTCCGAGGATGTATATATAAGCCATTCCTTGCCCTCCTTTCCCCAACTGTTGTCTTCCAGGTGTGTGAATTCACCAGCAGAGTAGACCTTGATGGAGGATAGTAGGCACTGAGCTCAACACATCTGAAAAGCAACCAGCCAATAGACCTCTTCCCACACCCCACCTCCCTTTGCAGCTGGGCTGCAAAATCAGGATGAAGAGAACCAGGTTGATTCTATCACCTTTTCTGAGAGAGCAACTAAACTCCAGATCTGGCAGCTTTTAAAGATCTCTGGGTTTCAACTCACGCTTCTCCTTGCCTCCGTTGTCATCTAATGACCCTGTAATCCCTTGCAGGATGGAGTCGGGTAACTCAATAGAGCAGAGTCTTTACTGGCCAGATGCCCTTCCTGTCACCAAGGCAGGGTTTTCCCCAGTTAGATATATTCTCATTGTGCCCGGAGAGAAATATCTGCCTTTCCCCAGGATCGAACCCACAGCCTCCTGATTGTGAAGCGAGTGTTCCACCACTAGGGCCACCACGTGTCACTCATGCGTCTCATTGCTTACGCTGCCTGTAAATTCCACACACCTGGAGTTGCCGCCTTTGAAAAGCAATGAACAAAGCGATTTCGCCCAAGCAGTTATCGATAAAATGCCTGTGTTTCCTTTTTCTGCCTCCTGCTCCTCCCCTTTTGCTTCAAGTTCTTTTTTTTTTTAAAGACCATAAACTCAAGGCAGGGTTGCTCACCCTTGTAAAAAAATGTTTTGGGATCCTTTTTTCCCTCCTTTCCCATCCCCTGGCTGATCCTCCCCCACCCCCAAGAGTTAAGTCTTACAAGCCAACCTGGCTCATTAGATCTAATCAGAGGTTAATCTGTTCAAGTTAATCTCTAATTAAAAGGTTGCTTTAGCGTAACCTCATCAGTATAACGGGGTAGATGCACGCAGGGGAAAGAATCATGCTTTACATACGTAATGGGAAAGGCCTCCATTTTGTGCAAATTTACTCGGAGGGCCTTTGCTTCCAGAGGTGCATGAAGGAGAAATGGAGGTCGTGTGTGTTCACACAATATGCTGAGTCAGGTAAAGAGATAACCTAGCAGGTGTCGTCATTGCTGTTATGACCAAGGCTTCCTAAGACACCAACAAACACGTAAAATCCAAAGCCCTTTTCTTTTAGTTCTATGGCTGTGAATTATTGTCATTCACAGCCCAGAATGAGTTTCAACCAGTTATAAATAGTCCCAGGAACGCCTGCCAAAGTTCTTGGGAAGAATGCTGATAAGAACGCACCTTTATCTGAAGTGCTGCCAACGACTAAAGTCCCAATGAGTCTTTTAAAACCAAACAGAGCAAATTCACCACGGAGCTTTCAGAATCCAAACTGATCAGAATGAATGACCTTGCTTCCTGCAAAGGTTTTCCTAGCTTTGCACTTACTTTATGTCTTATGGGAGGGCCAATCACCTCCAAGCCTTATTCCCGACTGTCCCCTTTTGTCTTAACTGTTCTTGCCTTCTGGCAGCTCTGAGCAGGTGCACACTGGGAACAGGCTCCCGTTATTCCTCTTCCTCACTGATGTCAGAGTCTGGAGGCTCCGGAGTCAGCACATAACTCCCAGATGGCTCTGGCCCCAACACAGGACCCTCGTCCGAATCCTTCCCAGACTCCCAGACTGGTCCTTGTTCTTCCCCACTATCCACTTCTGCCATCTCCGCAGGCTGCCCGTGAACCACAACAGTCACATGATGAGTGCAGCTCAGAATCCCGGTATTTGTGTGATTGAAATTCAGACGATTGGCAGCTGGTTCATACGACTGTTGCTGGGTCCCAAGGTCACACAATCCCCGTTTGCGACCTGGCCAGCCAAGTCCATGGGGAAGCTGGATTCACTTCGCAACCGGCTTGCTCACTTGTCAACTGCTGTGATTCACTTAACGACTGGCAAGAAAGGTCATAAAATGAGGTGAAACTCACTTAAACCTCTCGCTTAACAACACAAATGGTGGACTCAATTGTGGTGATAAGTTAAGGACCTCCTGTATTCCAAATGTGGTTTCACACTTGGAAAACTGCAACAAGCCAATTTTAATGATATTTAATTATTAGTTAATGATAGAAGATGGATGGATGGAGAGATGATAGAGATAGAGAAATAGATTATAGATAGCTAGATGATAGCTAGATATAGCGTAGATAGCTAGATGATAAATAGATATAATGTAGATAGCTAGATGATAGATTGTAGATAGCTAGGTGATAGATTGTAGATAGCTAGATTAGATAAATAGATATAATGTAGATAGCTAGGTGATAGATTGTAGATAGCTAGATGATAGATAAGTAGATATAATGTAGATAGCTAGGTGATAGATTGTAGATAGCTAGATTAGATAAATAGATATAATGTAGATAACTAGATGATAGATAAATAGATATAATGTAGATAGCTAGAGGATAGATATAGATATAGTGTAGATAGCTAGAGGATAGATAAGTAGATATAATGTTGATAGCTAGATGATAGATTGTAGATAGCTAGATTAGATAAATAGATATAATGTAGATAGCTGGATGATAGATGTATTGATTGATTGATAGTTATGATAGATAATGATAGATAGATAGATAGATAGATAGATAGATAGATAGATAGATAGATAGATAGATAGATCGATCGTGTGTTGGCAAATGGAGCCCTGGATTCAGCAAATATTTATTCTCTAAAAAGAGAAAGTCTCCAAGACTGAAATCTTGAGCTCCCTGGCACTCCATGTCATGTCTTAATTATCTCCTTATTTGCAGAATAAATGTTTGATCATAGTGACAGCAATTACAGGATTAATTGCACATTTACCCTTTACTGATACCAGGTATTATTTTCTGGGGGAGCTTCAGTCTGTCAAGGACGAAGGTGCCATTGCTAAAAGAGGATGGTTTTTTGCCGTTAATTTAATTGTCATTGATTGATGGTTACGCTCCCCCCCCCCCCCCAGAAACCGTGGCTTGGAATTGAGTACAAATTGGGTAAGGAACACTTAGCACCACGGGTCCAGCATGAGTCTCTTCCTACCCTTGAAGTGAACATCAGGATGATGGGGAAGGCCAACATTGTCTTAACCTTTCAATCATAACCTTGCTACAGGGCTCCTAAAAGATACACCTGAGATCTAATTTAATGGGAAGGCAGAAGGAAAATGATAAAAATAATGGTGGAGTCGTCATACGCTGAATTTCAGGGAGCTTAAAAGGTTGGTGGCTTGTCCATCCCAAACTAGCATAATGAAATGGAGGGAAGAGTTAAAATAATAGTGGGATTGTCATAGATGCTGAATTTCATCCACCGAATTATATCAGATTGTATCATCTATCCATTGCAATTCTATGGCTCCGTTTTATGGTGGTTTTATTATGGTTTTATCTTAATATATTACTCCCATATAATATTACCCACATATCTTTATGTACATCTATATCTCCATCTGTCTGTCTCTCTCATATCTATCTTCTATCTCTGTTCATCTCTCTCCATTTCTCTATTATCTATCCATCTATCTATATCTACCTACCATCCATCCATCCATCTATCTATCTATCCATCCATCTATCCATCTATCTATCCATCTGTCTATATCTTTCATCCATCTGTCTGTCTGTCTATCTATCTATCTATCTATCTATCTATCTATCTATCTATCTCTATCTCTTCCATCCATCCATCCATCCATCCACCCATCCATCCATCCATCTATCCATCCATCCATCCATCCATCCATCCATCCATCCATACACACATACATACCTCCTTACATCTCTCCATATCTCCAATTATCTCTCCCTCCTCTCTCTCTCTCTCTCTCTCTCTCTCTCTCTCTCTCTCTCTCACTCACTCACTCACTCACTCACTCACTCACTCACTCACTCACTCTATCTATCTATCTATCTATCTATCTATCTATCTATCTATCTATCT